GAGCCAGGGCCTCGGGGCCGCTGCGTGGCTCTGGAGACAGGGCAGGGGCAGAGACTGTTCGGTCTGCAAGGAGCAGGGTCCCCCCGATGCCCGGCCACACGAGGGTCACGTGGGGTTGGCCCTGCACAGCGCTCGGCACGGAAGCGTGAGCTGCTGTCCTCGCCGTGCAAGCGGGGGGCCCGGTGACCCGGGGCCGTGTCACCAACAAGGGCAAGGCCACCTCCCAACAAGCGCCGCCGTGGGAGCCGTGGGAGGGCACACAGCCCACATGCCCCCAGCTGGTCACTCAGGTCACTTCCCACCTGAGCACGGTGTTGCCTGTGGTGTCTTCACCCAAAGGTGCAACCGCCCAGCCCAGCCCCCGTCATGCAGGGGAGAGGCCGAGAGCCTTCACAGCTGCCTGTGGGACACCCAGCCCACACGTCCCACGGATCCCACACGTCCCACAGATCCCACACGTCCCACGGATCCCACATGTCCCACGGATCCCACAGATCCCACACGTCCCACGGATCCCACACGCCCTACGGGGTCCCACGGATCCCACAGAAACTCCCACATCCCACGGAAGAGAAGCTCATCCACCAGGGGCTGTGCCAGGGCCAGGACAGGCCTCCAGGCCACGGATTCTGGGGACGTTTAAAACCACCACGGTCACAACAGCCGTTCTACACTCTGCCCCAGGCATCCTGACTCCCAGGCCCAGGGGCAGAGCCAAGCGCGGCAACCGGGAGGACAACCAGGAGGCGGCGCTGCCGAGGAGCCAGGCGCTCTCAGCCCGGGACTCGAGGACCCACAGGCCAGAGACGGACGGACGGACACCCAGTTCTGTGGCGAGTCTCTAAAAGGACTGCCTGCCTGGCTGCCCGGCCTGGCTCTGGGCTCAGCTGCGGGGGCCTGGGCACCATCAGAGCAGGGCGGGCTCCAGTCTTCACGGGAACTTAGGGTGACGCTCCTGGGAGCCGCCGTCTGCGGGGCCTGTGCCAGGCCGGCCGTCTCCGCTCCGGACGAGAAGCCACTGTGGGCGCACGGGCCCTTCCCCAGGTCCGAGAGGGGCCCTTCCCCGGGTCCGAGAGGGCCCTTCCCCGGGTCCGAGAGGGCCCTTCCCCGGGTCCGAGAGGGCCCTTCCCCGGGTCCGAGAGGGCCCTTCCCCGGGTCCGAGAGGGCCCTTCCCCGGGTCCGAGAGGGCCCTTCCCCGGGTCCGAGAGGGCCCTTCCCCGGGTCCGAGAGGGCCCTTCCCCGGGTCCGAGAGGGCCCTTCCCCGGGTCCGAGAGGGCCCTTCCCCGGGTCCGAGAGGGCCCTTCCCCGGGTCCGAGAGGGCCCTTCCCCGGGTCCGAGAGGGCCCTTCCCCGGGTCCGAGAGGGCCCTTCCCCGGGTCCGAGAGGGCCCTTCCCCGGGTCCGAGAGGGCCCTTCCCCGGGTCCGAGAGGGCCCTTCCCCGGGTCCGAGAGGGCCCTTCCCCGGGTCCGAGAGGGCCCTTCCCCGGGTCCGAGAGGGCCCTTCCCCGGGTCCGAGAGGGCCCTTCCCCGGGTCCGAGAGGGCCCTTCCCCGGGTCCGAGAGGGCCCTTCCCCGGGTCCGAGAGGGCCCTTCCCCGGGTCCGAGAGGGCCCTTCCCCGGGTCCGAGAGGGCCCTTCCCCGGGTCCGAGAGGGCCCTTCCCCGGGTCCGAGAGGGCCCTTCCCCGGGTCCGAGAGGGCCCTTCCCCGGGTCCGAGAGGGCCCTTCCCCGGGTCCGAGAGGGCCCTTCCCCGGGTCCGAGAGGGCCCTTCCCCGGGTCCGAGAGGGCCCTTCCCCGGGTCCGAGAGGGCCCTTCCCCGGGTCCGAGAGGGCCCTTCCCCGGGTCCGAGAGGGCCCTTCCCCGGGTCCGAGAGGGCCCTTCCCCGGGTCCGAGAGGGCCCTTCCCCGGGTCCGAGAGGGCCCTTCCCCGGGTCCGAGAGGGCCCTTCCCCGGGTCCGAGAGGGCCCTTCCCCGGGTCCGAGAGGGCCCTTCCCCGGGTCCGAGAGGGCCCTTCCCCGGGTCCGAGAGGGCCCTTCCCCGGGTCCGAGAGGGCCCTTCCCCGGGTCCGAGAGGGCCCTTCCCCGGGTCCGAGAGGGCCCTTCCCCGGGTCCGAGAGGGCCCTTCCCCGGGTCCGAGAGGGGCCCTTCCCCGGGTCCGAGAGGGCCCTTCCCCAGGTCCATGGGGGGGCCCTTCCCCGGGTCCGAGAGGGGCCCTTCCCCGGGTCCGAGAGGGGCCCTTCCCCGGGTCCGAGAGGGGCCCTTCCCCGGGTCCGAGAGGGGCCCTTCCCCGGGTCCGAGAGGGGCCCTTCCCCGGGTCCGAGAGGGGCCCTTCCCCGGGTCCGAGAGGGGCCCTTCCCCGGGTCCGAGAGGGGCCCTTCCCCGGGTCCGAGAGGGGCCCTTCCCCGGGTCCGAGAGGGGCCCTTCCCCGGGTCCGAGAGGGGCCCTTCCCCGGGTCCGAGAGGGGCCCTTCCCCGGGTCCGAGAGGGGCCCTTCCCCGGGTCCGAGAGGGGCCCTTCCCCGGGTCCGAGAGGGGCCCTTCCCCGGGTCCGAGAGGGGCCCTTCCCCGGGTCCGAGAGGGGCCCTTCCCCGGGTCCGAGAGGGGCCCTTCCCCGGGTCCGAGAGGGGCCCTTCCCCGGGTCCGAGAGGGGCCCTTCCCCGGGTCCGAGAGGGGCCCTTCCCCGGGTCCGAGAGGGGCCCTTCCCCGGGTCCGAGAGGGGCCCTTCCCCGGGTCCGAGAGGGGCCCTTCCCCGGGTCCGAGAGGGGCCCTTCCCCGGGTCCGAGAGGGGCCCTTCCCCGGGTCCGAGAGGGGCCCTTCCCCGGGTCCGAGAGGGGCCCTTCCCCGGGTCTGAGAGGGGCCCTGGGGCAGTGCCCCAGCTTCCAGGGTGTGACCCCCTGGGACGAGCATCGCAGTGTGGGGGACGCCCACAGGGACCCCCGACCTCAGCCCCGACCCCATCGGGGCCCAAGGAGCTTCCTTAGGTCCCTGCACCTCCCCACACAGCCGGCCGTGGTCCTGGCCGCACCCCCGTCCTCGCCTCCTCCCTTCCCTGCCACACCCGGGGCGGCCTGGCCTCAGGGTCCTCCGTGTTTGGGACTCTGACCTGCCACTCACTCCCTGGTTCCCGGTGCCTGTGGGTGGCCTGGCCTGGGACCAGGGCGCCCGCTCCCTCACCCGGGATGTGGGGAGGAGGCCGTGCCCGGCTTCCCCTTCCTGCACTTCCTGCACCAGAGGGCGAGCGTGAAGGGTCAGGGCTCCTCCGTGAGTCTATTTTTGGGGGGGGGGGGGGGGGGGCTGGGCCGGATGACGCGGCTCCCGCTCTCCACTGTTTACATCGCGTGCAAGTGACAGGAAGAGGGACCCACTGTGCGGAGCCCGCCGTCCGCCAGGGCCGGGCACTGAGGGCACAGCCCTGTGGTGGACACGGGAGGACGCTGGGCGCAGGGGCCACACTCACTAACGAAGTCGGGGCAGGTGACGTCCATAAGACGAACATCAGCGTTACCGTGTTCCGTGTTCCCGCCAAAAAGCTTACAAAGGTACAAACCTCACTCGCCTGTCAATCACTGTGAACTACAAATGGCCACTGAACATCTAGGTGGCCTTTAATGAGAATAAGATCACTCTACGGAGGTCAAGGTGGACTTGCCTAGCCTCCGCCTGTGACCCATGACCAACAGGCGTGTTCATGATCAAGCGTAAGAGTGAGAGCATCTTTCTTCCTCCCCTCCCTCCTCCCCTCCCTCCTTCCCGCCCTCCTGTCTACCATCTGTGGTCTGCATCCTGCACCCGCCCTCCGGGCACCCTGAGGGCCGTGCGGTCAGGAGGAGAGCTCCCTGCGGAGTGGAGCCCGAGCCAGCCCTCCGTCTCCCCTTCGCTGTACTTTAGGGGGGATCTGGGGCTCTGGGAGGAAGAGCTCTGATCTTGGGTCCTGGTCTGGACTCCCCACCACAGTCCCAGACCCCAGGGCACGACCTTGACCTCTGGGACCTTTGGGGTCGCCCTGGACAGACCCCGTGGAGTGGGTCTGCTTGGCTCGGAGCCTCCCCCCCTCGCCCCCCACAGGTGCTGGTTTTCCTGGCGATTTGCTGTCTCCCCTTCTCCGTGCTTCTCGTTGCTGCTCTAGATTCTCGCTTTCCAGTGACCACGAGGCTCACACACCACATCCCGCGGAGAAGCAGCCCTTTCCTGCTGGCCAGCTACCGAAGGGCCCTGTGAAAGCAGCCTTTGTGCGGGAAGCTCTGTGGCGGTGTTTCAGCCGAGCCCTCATTTTGCAATTCTTCTGTTAATTGTCTGCGAACAAGGAGCCATTTACCAGCCTCTGGGAGGCGGGGGCGGACGGGCCAGCGGCCAGAGGGGCCGGCCAGTGGAGGCCGAGGAGGAGGCCACCATCTCGGGCCTTTTCTGGTGAAAACCCCTGTCCCGCGTTTCGGGCC